TTCCCAGAGAAAAAAACCACCTAATCTGTTAACGACACTGCAAAGCATGGCACGTTTTGTCTGTCTGAAAGAGCTACTGCTGGAAGTCAGAAGTACAAAAGATTTTAAGTGTCTGTGGCAGACAGCACACTCAAAATAAAAAAAAATTAAAAAAATTAAAAAAAAAACCCCAAACTCAAAACCACCCCTCTATCAGAGGGTAACAACTATTTTAAATGTCATTGAGTTCAAAATAGAGAGCCTCTGTCATGGTAAATTAACTGTCAGCAGATGCCTTTGTTCTGAACTACAAAGCCTTCGGCTGAGCACCTCTGCTGTCTGCCACCCAAACAGTATGTCCCAGGGAGAAGGTATTTGTAAGAAGCCGAGCCCACACCACGGCAGGTTCAGCAAGCCAAAGCTAGTACCTCGAACTGTGTGGACACCAGCATTTCCCTTTCAACGTCAGCACTGAGCAGTAGCATTTATACGCTCTGGAAATGATACACGCTCCCAGTTTGTAGCTTGCCTTCAGCTGCTGTCCTAACTACAGCATGCAGGAAGTGCAGCCATTAATCACGGCAACAAAAATCCATAAAGACTGGCCCCGTCTAACTGGATGAAGAAAAATGGTTCTGCCTTTAACAGGAGCTGTTGATCTAACACGAGCCAAGGTGTGAATTAACAGAAACAACTTCCGTAGAAAGAAGCACAGATGTAATCTTTTCCATGTCTCCCAGGCATCTTGTTCTCCAACAAATTATTCTTACCTAGGGGGCTGGCTCTTCAGCTAATTAGATTTCATTTATCAAACTTGCATTAAACACCAAAAAAAAATCCAGAACACCTCTTCACACTCTGGCTATGAGATTGCCACGTGGCATTTCATGGGATCTTAAGTCCAGTAGGGCCTTGTGGGAATAATGATCAAGTACAAGAACTGTATGTGTGTAGCACTGTTCATTTACGGAGACAGTAATCCCACATGAATCCCTGTTTGGGGACAGACTTCAGAATAACAGTGTACGTTCATCTATCACCACAGGGTCATTATCTACTGAGATCTACAGTATAGATATAGATAACTAGTGCCAGTGTGGGCAAAACCTGAGCCATCTCTCTTTTTGATGCCAAAATGAGCTGTCTGTGATAAAAAGTCAATGGAAAGTTGTCACAGGAAAATGGTTTTCCCTCAAGTCCAGTTGGTCTGCCTACATAAATACAAAAAGTCACACGTGAAATCAAAGCAGTTGCAAAGCAGAGCTGAATAATTAGAGAACCAGGAGATAAGTCTCCTTGAACTTATCTGAGTTGCTGCTTTATTGGATTCTTCTAAGAAGCAAAGACTGCATGACTGCTGATCAAGGAAACAACCCTGAGGCCAGTCACTGCCCAGCAGTCCGTGCCCTTGCCACATCCAACACTTACTTTAATGATCTTACTTTTATTTGATGCCCAGCAACATGGGGGCTTTTTGATAGCAGCCTAAAACGGCAGTTTGCACAGCAGGGTAGCAAGTGCATGTGTTATGTGCAGGGGGGCATGGCACATCTGAAAAATCTGTGCATAGGAGAAACCCATCCTTGGAACCGAATACAGTTTTCTCAGTGGAGAAGCCAGCTTAGCAACAGGGGAACACAGAGGGAATCACTGCATGGATACGTATGGGCTGTGGGGGCCAGGGAGCCAAGTTCAGACACAGGCAGTAGCGAGTATGTCTTTTCTGCTTAGAATGGGTTCCTTCTCCATTCTAAAAACTGGGACACTACACTACTTTTGGTGTTTACTTCTTTTTTTTTTTTCCCCCATGGATGACCAGCTTAAATCTTAAAAATTACATTTTGAATCTTTTCAAAAAGAGCGGCTCATGCAGTCGATGGGCAGTGCCTTCCCTCACAAAGCAAACTTTGTTTTGTGCCCAAAATATGAAGCTTGCTAAAGCACAGTTGCACCAAAAATTTATATTGTTACTTCTAATTTAGAAAAAATGAAAAGGAAACCTGAGCAAGACTAGTGCATAGAACCAGGCTGATCTCTTCATCAGTGATTAGTTTACGGTCATCTTTCAGGGTGCAGAAGCCTGGCTGTATGCACCGCAGCCGTCTCTTGCCAAGGGAGTTCAAAAGTGTTGGCTCCTCACGAACAGTTATGCTTGGCTACAAACAGCTCTGGGATGGGGCCCACCCTGTGCTCTCTCAGCCAGGCTGCGAGATGCGGGAAGCCAGAAAGGCCTGTAGCCTGCTGAAGACAAGCCCCTGCCTGGGAAGAAAAGTCCAAACTGCCGTTCGTGAGCCTGGTACTGCCTGCCTAAAGGCAGCAGCTGGAGCAGAGAACAGCAAGATCCCAGTGTTGCTGCTAGCAGGAGCTGCAGCGCTTACCCCTGCAGAGTGAGGACAGGCTACAGCCAGTCTCGCGCCTCCTGGATGACTCTTACTCGCTGGAATACTCCGTGAGGCGTGGATACGCCCCTTCCATCTAGACACGGGTTCATCTTTATCTTAGGCAGGATATAACGTATAAAGTTAAACATGATTTCTTCAACCGTGTCCATCAGTAAATTGGGAATCTCAGTTTACATCCAGCCCAGTCTTCATCTGCAGTGTCCAGCCCTTTATTTAAAAACAAGTGCAATTAAAATCACTTTCTAGGGTCTTCCTGTGCTTCGCTACAAGCAAGAATATGATAGTTAAGATGAAAGTTGTTTCAGTGTGCCTTCTTTACACGTGGTGTAATTACCTCCGTGTATTTTCCTCTTTAAAAGGCTCCCATAAAAGCCACAGATACTTTCAAGGAAAATACAGTAGCAAGGTAATTCTAGTAAAAAGGGGACAGATTTGTATTCCGTTAGAGAAAGTTACTTTCACTTTTAAATTGAGAAAATTGTAATACTGGCTTTAGAGTGAAATGTTCTTGCAGTTTTCCAGAACAGATGTCAAACCTGTTACTACTGCGGTTACCAAGGGACAGCAGGACCCACTCGGAACTGGGGGAAGACGATGGCTGTGCTAGGCTTGGCAAGGACACACCAGGAGTTACAAACGCGGTTTTTCTTTCCGAGCATGCCAGTTGAGCTTTGAGTCACACGTAAAGCAGCATACCTGCGAGCGAGCCCTGCTGAGGGGAATGGGAGGGTTCGATACATAATGGCAAAACGGAGATGCACAAGAGCTGTTGGGCATTGCCCAGTGTTCAGTCTTCCTCTGAGGGTGCTCATGTTAGAGGGATGCATTGCAAAGAGAGGCATGGGCACTGATGATGTCATAGAATTATAGAATTATTTAGGTTGGAAAAGACCTTTAAGATCATCAAGTCCAATCGTCAACCCGGCACTGCCAAGTCCACCACTAAACCTTGTCCCTGAGCACCACATCTACACGACTCTGAAATCCTTCCAGGGATGGTGACACAGCCACCTCCCTGGGCAGCCTGTTCCAGTACCTGATGACCCTTTCAGTGAAGAGATTTTTCCTAATATCCAATCTAAACCGCCCCAGCCGCAACTCGAGGCCATTTCCTCTCGTCCTATCGCTTATCACTTGGGTGAAGAGACCAACCCCCACCTCTCTGCAACCTCCTCTCAGGCAGTTGTAGGGTGCGGTCAGTCCTTTCAGTCGTGCCGTGCCTTGCACAGTCAGCTACAGGCTGTCCTGCAGTCCGCTGTCTATGAAAATCATTCCCAAGTCCACAGTAACTACAGGGTGTGCAAGGTGAAATGTCAGTGACTTGCCTTTCAAGAACAAGAATGTTAAAACTCTCTAAAGGCTAAAAATCTCTAAAGACCACAGTTGGTTTAAGCAACTTCTTGTAACCCTTTTTTCCTGACTCTCACCTTTAAACCTGGATGTGCTTGCGCAGTATAAATTTCCTACATTTTATTGATACTTGGAATTCTGTTTTATTTCGTAGTTAGAAGTAGAAAGGAAGGACAGTCTGAGATCTTAGCAATACCTGACTTTTCAGGCAGAAAAGCATATAGTCTTTACATGACGGGACATTGATTAAACACGTTAAAAGTATGGTGCAATTAAGAAAATCTGATTGTACCTTCAGGGCAAAACAAAACAATTTGGGATGTACAAACCTACCAAATACTGTCTATCTATATAATCAGATCTACACATTTTTTAAAAGAACACGGGAGATTTCTAGGCTGAAGTGTAACACGCACAAAAATGTAAAGCCTAAACAGTGTTTCTTTTTTAACGTTTCCCCCCTGGCCTCTCTCCAAGGGTTTGCTGTGAGTCTCCAAGTAATTCTGTCGCATCCGAAAGCCGTATTCAAGCGTCGTGGTTCTCAGCCAGGAATGCAAGAATCCGATTTTCTGAAACAGATAACAACAGTGGAGGAACTGGAACCGAAAGCAAACAACTGCACAAAGGTACTCCTTTCCCCACTCACTGAAAAGCTTTCGTGCTGTCTCTGCAGCTGCTTGTACTGACACGAGTGTTGCTTTATAGGTCCTTGTGTGGCACACACGAACAGAAAAAGTAAACCTAGCTAACGAGCCAAAATACCATCTGGACACGGTCAGTATTGAGGTCTGAGGGGGCGAGACAGTTGCACGGGAAGCACAGCGCAACGGATGTTCGAATTCAGCCCGTTAAAACAGTCTGCGCGAGACCTTCTGATCGTCACCCGATGGACGTCTGCGGAAAGAAGAGGAAGCCGTCAGATACTCTGCTACGCGAATCAAGTGGGTGTGCTTTGTTCTGACTCGTTTGCATGCATTTCTGACCTCTCGTCTTAATGAACCCACACTCACCTTTGTTTTAAGGCTGTTTCCACATAGTGAAAAGAATCAGAGAAACGTGGCTGCAATGGAGCATTTTCAAAATCATGGTTTATGTATATACTTTTTGTATTTATCCAGCTTAATGGTGTAATTATGAACGGGTTTTAAACCGCGTATTTGCATAAATGGATCCTCCAAACCGAACGTGCTTTCCTTCATTAAGAGTAGCCTTCTTGAAGAGACAGCGGTCAAACAGGTCATACGATAACGAAATAAAAACCCACAAGCATTTATGGATTTATCCTTTTAATATAGGGAAATAACATTTTATCATTACGAGGCACCATAAAATGTAAACACAATCACTGTCATAAACCTGGATATCTCTGCAAGGAAAATTCTGCCTGTTCCCTCGGAGTTTACCTTGTGTATACGTGTTGTGCTGCCGGTTCCCAGCGTTAATACTGTGCGCGTGCCTCGGGAGCCAGATCGGGTACTTCATCGCAGGAAACTCAAGTGGATCAAATGCTCATTTTTAAAAGAATGAACTATTGGTTTGTAGAACTACAGCAACATCCAGGTTTACCTTCCTTTCGATAACCACGTTCCCTGTTACGCACACCATAATAACGTCACAGTGAAATGTATGATGAAACAAAATTCGTTTGATACACGAGAAAAACATTGCTCAGTGATACATTTACATTCTATTTATATATGATTAAACATTTGTTCATACAGTACCTTCTACAGGATTACTGGGTAGTTTGGGGGGTCAGGGTTCATAGTTTTGGATATTACTAACATGATAGCTACATCCCTTATATGCAAACATTTGATCTAGAATTTTCAGGGAAAAAAGAAAAGAATCAGTACGTGGTTAAGCAGCTTCTTAAATACATGGTCTATGGACTCGTATGCGTGGTATGGAAACGCTGCCAATGACGTACAAATGTATTCTTGATCTGCCTGTCACTACATCAAATTTAAATCAGTATAGACCACAACACGGTCGGTCAGTTATATTCTTAATCGGAACAGCTGGGGACAAAGAAAAAGAGTATGTACATGGAAGGGACAGCGGAAGTAAATGCAGCTGAAGAAGGAATGGTAGGTGGCTCTTCTGGGCGAGGCGTCTAGTGCAACTTTCATTTCCACAGCTGTGTGCTGAGAGTCTGACCAGAGGAGCTTCCGGTCCACCCTGCCGCTGTGCTGGGGGGCTGGCCGAAGCCCATCGCGCTGCTGGAACTGCTGAGGTTCATCCCGGCCATTTGCTGATTCATCTGCGAAGCACAGACACGAGCCCAGTTAGCGCTGCTGCCGAAACACGCCACGCCACTAGCTAAACAGCACTCAGGCTTCCCACCCAGTTAAAGTACGTCTCCCTAAAATTAGGATTTCTCATTAAACAGACATATTGACTCATTATACTGAGTTTCTAAGCATTTCTCAAGGCAGCAGCTTTTCTGGAACTGGTTTCTCTTCAAGTGACGGCCGTTACACATTGGTCAACTGGCTGCGGCGCACGTGATGTGTCCGTATAATAAACACGTCACTGCTGAATGTACAGGGCATGTGGCACAGCAGTCCCAACCTGTCTCTGCTGGGAAGAGCTCGCTTGCCAGGTTTCACAGCTAACCCACAGGGTCCTGGTGATAAGGAAACACCAAAACACAGCCCCTCCACGATTGCAACTCCAGGTGTGTTTTGTCCCAGCGGTATTTCTCTGGGGACCCCAAAGCCTTGAATACACAGATTTTTATATAAGTTGTCCATTTAAGGTTGCAATCGGTAAAGAATGAGGTGGGATTATAAACTTGTATATTGCCTAAATCTAACCATTCTTGCTAAATAATCCACTCAAGATACCGTGATTTCTTAAAAACAAGTGAAATCATTCCGCACTTTCGCTTCAGGCATAGTGCAGAAACATTCTATTCCCTTCAAGCATTATCTAGTCACCGTAACTGTCAGCGCCGCAGCGTGCTTTGGGTTACTGCCCCCGGCCTTCTGGCACGAGCACCCGCTGAGCAGCCCAACGCCTGGCTCTGCGGACGGTACTGCCGTCCCCTCTCCTGAGTTCGAGGGCAACAGAGCGTTTGGAGCAGCTAACGATCGGAGCTGATGAGCCGGGATGCCGGATCAGCAACGCCAGATTCAAGTTAGAGATGGCATTAGGTCAAAATCAGGGTTCATGTAAACATGAGAGAACAATGCCAGGTGGCAAAATAACTGAGACAGTGATGAAAAAAAGGGTTAAGTAAACTGCAAGGTCGTGTTTCAGGGTAAAACTCAGTGCTGCATGTTTTCACACATGTACCTGCACAAACAGCCTGTTGCTAAGCATGGAGATCTACAAAAAGCTGATGAAAAGGCGCTTTGCTTAGCTGCTAATCCCTTCTGGAGCAGAATCTTTAGGCAGCAGACTGCGCATACCAAGCGTGCTGCTCTGGTACGTGGAATGGGCTGGCTCCCACTCAACTGGAGCCGGAGATCAGGCCACGGTTCCCCTACACACCGTGGCACGTTGGCATCCCGGCGACTGCTGGTGCACAGGGAGCACAGAAACACCGAGAGCTTGTTCTACGAGCCAACTGATAAGCAGCAGGACTTTAATTTCAAAGCCAATTTGGGTCTTTTTAAAGTCAGAGACCCAGAAAGAGACTGTTAGCAGTAAATCCATGGATTTTTTTTTTTTGCATTTTGAAATTCTCACCTTTTAAAAGTTATTTTTCGAAGCAGAACGATGGCATTTTCAAACGGGGGGATGTTTCAATCCCAAAAGAAATGCTGCTTACCTTCAAAAAACGGTCACACCACAGGACTGAGCAGAACAGTAAAAATTAGTATAATCCCATCTAAATAAGTCACCATGGTTCACTTCCTGAATTACGGTATTGCTCTTGTAATTCAAAAAACCGTTATGGAAAACCAGTTGCTCTCGTCCGTACTGAACTCCAAGGGAGTCAGTAAGGCTTGTGTGTCCCCAGTAACCTCTCAAATACCTGACTTCAAGATGCTTCACTGGATGATGTACAGACACAGCACCACCTGTACGCTAGTGCTTTTAGAGAACCTTTTAAACACGTCCAAGAAATAAAAAAATCACATGGCAAGAGGTAGATAAGAGATTACCCGACGCAAACTGTCCATGGGAGAACGTCAGAGTGCAAAGCACTGCGCGCTCTGCTGAAGCTGACCCCGAGGCCCGCAACTGACGGCCCTCAGTGGCTGTCCTCACGCCTCCTTAGGTCAGGCTGCGTTTGCAGGCCGCTCTGTCGCTGCTACAGCCCAGCTGGCTTTTCAGCTGCCTCCTTCAGCTGCCGGGCAAGAGTAGCGGCAGGAGCAGAGACCCGAGCTTGACCTACCCTGGGAAAAGTTATTCTCCGCTTAGGTATCGGTCACCTGGAATTGAGTTAGTCACTGATTTTTGCTGCATGCCTCTGAGCAGTGCACGGTCCAGCGGTCTGTAACTCGGCTGTGCCACAGCTTTCCTCCTACAGCCAAACATTTTGCGCCTGAAAAGCAGTGTCTTTCCTAAAGCACTCTGGGAAAAGCAAACCTTTACCTGGGAGAGGTTCCACTGAGCCTGCTGGTTTTGTTGCAATCCGTACTTATTTTGTGGCGTGACCATCTGTCCCACCATTCCACCTTGAGGTCCAACGACATTTTGAGGAAGTCCCATCACACCAGTTTGTGCAGTACCAGTAAATCCATTGGGCATTCCCATTCCCACCATCACGCCCGTGCTCTGTCCCATGACTGGCACCGACTGTCCCATCATGTTTCCCATCATCCCAGTTGCTGCAGGCACAGGAACTCCCATGGCCGGAAAGCCTTGAAAATGAGCCGATGGCTGTGTGGTAAATGGCATAGAGGACGACCCCATGAACAGGCCTGTACAGAGGGAAGATCGCAGCAAGTCAGAAGTGCACCACAGTAACTCCGAAGGGTAACGGCACAGACACTCGTGCTCTAAGCCATGAATCCACAAATCTTTCAGTAAATCAAATCCTTGATAATTCAAACAGCTATAAATAAACTAAAATCACATATTGTTTCTTCCTTTAGCCTTCTGCATTGCATTTCAGTGACCGTCTCTGTTTTACAAATGGTAAAAACAAGAATCTTCACTGGGATATAGGGTGCAGGCACCCAACCTTGGTTTCGTACCTGCGGGAGATAACTGTTCTAGGTAAGGCCTGAAACAGGACTGCATGGAAACGGTTACAAAATCACTTACCCGGAGCGTTTTGCTGCTGCATGGTTCCCGTGCCATACAGTGATAAGATGGAGTCTTTGGAGAGCTGTTTCTTTGCCGACTCTTCGGACTTTGTTGTTTGCTCAGTGAATAGATCGAGATCCCCCGACGCCGCAGACAGGGCGGCAGAGGCTGGTTTAGTGGAAGTGCTCTGGGAAATACAAGTCAAGACAGACCTAGTGAGTGAAACCGGCAAAAGGCGT